CTTTGGTCGCAGAAATCGAGAAAACAAAATATCGATTTCATCAATATCTTTTCTTCTTCAGTTCTGGTATTCACACAGTTGTTTGAAGAAAAGTGTCAATAATGTTAAGAGAAAATTATTTCTTCCGCGATTTCTAAGAGTATTTATTTTTAAAATGCGTCAACTGAAGCTAACCTTGCGTCATCAATTTCTTGTAAAACTGTATCATATCCAGCAATGTTAAATAATATAACATTATCTTGTATGAAAGTCGATTCTCTTATTTTATTTTTACTTTTCCCGACTCATTTTCTATTGATCGACAATCATTATTTACAGTTTTAATATTTTTTTAGTACATCTATGCAATTACACTTCAGTTGATGCATAATTATAAAAGTACCCTTGGGATATTTATTGACAATGTTTCTAAGCCTATCGTAAGGACATTTTTAAGAAGATTCTCAAATTTTCACGTCGACACACTGTAATAAGAAGGCATCTTATTTTAAGATACTTTGCCAAAACCCAAAAAAAATTTAATTTAAAGGTTTTAAGTATTATTGAGATTTTCAGGGTCGTTGAATTTTTCAAAATTCAAAATGCCCACATAGCACAATAGTATGAGGTAAGGTTATGTTGAGTACTAATCGTAAGGCTCATAAGGTTACACGATATTGCGGTGGTAGACCTGAGGTGAACTAAAAACTTCCGCCATGGAGGTAAGGTTACATGTTAGGGTGTGGTGACTATATATGATAAGGCCATGGTAACCTTACACGTTAAGGTTGAGGTAACGTTACATGTTAAGGTTGAGGTAAGGTTACATGTTAAGGTTGAGGTAACGTTACATGTTAAGGTTGAGGTAAGGTTACATGTCAAGGCTGAGGTAAGGTAATTATTAAGTTGTAAGGTTGAGGTAAGGTTGTGATAAGTTTACCAGTTATAGAAAATATTGAAAAAATAATTAATAAATAAATATTCAATTAAAATGTTAAGTTTGTTGCTCTTCTCTATTTTGGAAACCTGACATGAAGCAGAAAATTTTGAAAACAAATTTGGGGGGACTGGGATTCGAACCCGGGATCGGCGCGCATAAACCTATCATTCTAACTAACTGAGCTAAGTAGAGAACTGGCAGAAGGAAAATTAATGTTGCCTTTAAGGAGTTAATCATCTTCTTGGTTCACCTTAAAGGCAACATTAATTTTTCTTCTGCCAGTTCTCTACTTAGCTCAGTTAGTTAGAATGATAGGTTTATGCGCGTCGATCTCGGGTTCGAATCCCAGTCCCCCCAAATTTGTTTTCAAAATTTTCTGCTTCATGTCAGGTTTTCAAAATAGAGAAGAGCAACAAACTTAACATTTTAATTGAATATTTATTTATTAATTATTTTTTCAATATTTTCTATAACTGGTAAACTTATCACAACCTTACCTCAACCTTACAACTTAATAATTACCTTACCTCAGCCTTGACATGTAACCTTACCTCAACCTTAACATGTAACGTTACCTCAACCTTAACATGTAACGTTACCTCAACCTTAACATGTAACCTTACCTCAACCTTAACATGTAACGTTACCTCAACCTTAACGTGTAAGGTTACCATGGCCTTATCATATATAGTCACCACACCCTAACATGTAACCTCACCTCCATGGCGGAAGTTTTTAGTTCACCTTAGGTCTACCACAGCAATATCGTGTAACCTTATGTGCCTTACGATTAGTATTCAACATAACCTTACCTCATACTATTGTGCTATGTGGGTGACTGATTCAATATGGTGGACGACAAAATAAAAAATTAATTGGTTTGGCTTGAAAGTTACATGGGGGTTTTAGTATTACGTAGCTGCATTCAACGACGCGTCTAGTATGTATAATCTAGTATATATAAAAAATTTTAAATTAAAAAAAATATATAAAAAATAAAAAAAAATGTAATGTAAAATCCTATGGCAGCCTCCTCGTGGTACATTCTGGGGTCGTGAATTTAAAAAATTTAATAAACTATAAAAATTAAATTCACCAGCTAATGTCAGGGCATTTAACTAAATTTGATTTTACCAAAAATTATCATATTGATGTCAGATTCGTAATCAACGACCCTAGAAACCTTCAAGTAACTATAGTTTCAAGTCAATCTGATCAATTTTTTATTTTGTCGTCCGCCATATTGGATCCGACATTTTGAATTTTGGAAAACTAATGTCAGATTCGTAATTATAGCCAAATTAAAAAAAAATTCCCGCCATATTGGATCCGCCATTTTGAATTTTAAAAAACTAATGTTAGATTCGTAATCAGCGACCCTAAAAACCCCCGAGTATTCAGTTTCAAGCCATTATAATTAATTTTTTATTTTGTCGTCCGCCATATTGGATCCGCTATTTTTTGTTTCCAACTTCTACTTTCCCCTCTTCTATAAATTTCCTACCACTGTTAGATTCTTTTTATCTAATTATTTAATTATATTTATTTTGCATAATGTAAATAATATGTAAGTGTAAATATAATTAAATTATATTTTCAAATTAATTATAAGAGCTTCTACTTACTTAATATTGCGATGTTAAAATATAATTTGTTAGTTTATTACAGATATTGATAAACACCGATGAATCGACATATATGGAGAACGTGTTTAGATTTGAATGATAAAAAATTGTATTTGAATTATTATATGTATTTAAGTTTGAAGCTGTTTAATAAATTCGGCCTATGAATTTTGAAAATCTAACATCAGATTCGTATTTATCGACCCCAAGAACCTCCCGAGTAACCAGGTTCAGGCGGATTTTGCCAATTTTTAATTTCCACGTCCGCCGTATTCGATCCGCCATTTTGAATTTTTAAAAACTGACCCAAGATTCGTATTTAGCGACCCCAAAAAACCCCCACGTAACTAGTTTCAAGCGGATTTAGTCAATTTTTAATTTTTACGTCCGCCATATTGGAGCCGCTATTTTGAATTTTGAAAATCTAACATCAGATTCGTAATCAGCGACTCCAAGAATCCCTTTTAGCTGTGGTCAATTTCTGGGATTGGTGGATGACTTATATCAAACTAGGTTGCATATGTCCGCCATATTGGATCCTCCATTTTGAATTTTAAAAATCTGGTTTTTATTTTAGTAATCAGCGATCCCATAAATCCCCGAACATTAAAATTTCAGGGAAATCAATAATTTTTTAAAATAGTTGAATTTGCAGGTTAGGTTCAAAAATGTGGAAATTTCAAAAATCTATTTATTTTATGTTCAGTAAACATGTGTAGCATTAAATGTTGTAATCTCTGCTTGAGTACTGCAACAATTTAATCGTTGATTTTAAGTCACTGATCAAAATTTTTATTTCTTTTGAAAATTGAAATGCATTTTAAATTTTAAAATGTCGGATCCAATATGGCGAACCGAAATTTTTAAAGTTGATGGATTTTTATGAAATTTTGTATTTAGGGGTTCTCGGGGTCGTTGATTACGAATTTGATGTTAGATTTTCGATATTCAAAATGGCAGGTCCAATATGGTGGGACGAAATGTTTAAATTTGATAGATTTTTATGAAAGTTGGTATCTAGGGGTTTCCGGGGTTGCTGATGTTAGATTTTTTAAATTCAAAATGGCGGATCCAATAGGCGGACCGAAATTTTGAAATTTGAAGGATTTTTTTGAAACTTTCTACCCAGCGGTTTTTGGGGTCGCTGATTACGAATCTGATGTTAGATTTTCAAAATTCAAAATGGCGGGTCCAATATGGTGGGCCTAAATGTTTAAATTTGATAGATTTTTATGAAACTTGGTATCTAGGGGTTTCCGGGGTCGCTGATGTTAGATTTTTTAAATTCAAAATGGCGGATCCAATATGGCGGACCGAAATTTTGAAATTTGAAGGATTTTTTTGAAACTTTCTACCCAGGGGTTTTTGGGGTCGCTGATTACGAATTTGATGTTAGATTTTTTTAATTCAAAATGGCGGATCCAATATGGCGGACCGAAATTTTGAAATTTGAAAATTTGAACACTGTTACCATATGGGTTTATACTATATTTGCAAATGGGAACCTACGTATGCTTCCATGTTAGTTTCAAAATTTCTTATTAGAAACACGTGTGGGTACCTATATAGGAACCTATATAGATTTTTATATTTCAAGTGTATAATTTAAATTGTGAACCCATAAAGTTTATTATATTTTTAAGTAAGAATCTATGTATATGTTCCCATAGAGGCTTTCATATGGGTTCTCATAGGGGTTTTTTTATATTTAGTAAGTGTATAATTAAAAAAACAAAAATGGTAACATATATGGAAACCCATGTGGGCTTCCATTTATATTAAAATTTTTTCAAACTACATAGGATGGTATATTGAATCTTATAGGATCCCATATATGAGAAATTATATGGGTTCCTATAAATTATTTGATTATAATATAAATTAATCATAAAGTATAATATAAACAATACCATATAAAATTCTATAGGAACCTATATGAATTTATAAGAAAATTTTCAGTAGGGTAGGTTTGTAAGGATCAATGTAGGGTCAGCTAGGTTCAAACGATCCTTGGTTATATTCGAATTTTATGTAAAAATCAACCAAATAATTTAATTGTATCATCCAAATAATTTTTTTTTTTTTGCCTCAACCAAACAATTTTTCAATATCAAACAAACTTTTGATTGCCGGTATTAAAATATTTTTTTATTCAAACTGACAGTATTCATGGGGGGTAGATAAGTATAATTAATGAAACCCAAAAATGATTTTTCTCTTTGCAAAAGAAATCATTACAATTACACACACACAATAATAATAATAATTTTGTATGTAAACATTTAAATAATAATACATGATAAGATTTCTCGTCACTTTACTTTTTTTTCCTCGTCTTCTTCACGCATTCTTCGTTCTCTCGCGCCCCCTCCCCCTCTTTTCCCTCTCCAACGTTTCGCATCCGCAGTTTAGCAGGTAATTTATCCCTTTCCTCTTATTTTCGAAAAATCAGTAGATATTAGACCCCCATCCGGAATGTTTTCGGATCAGTGCGGCAGCGAACGCCCGACGAGAAGGACTGCTCTTCCCGTTTATCGTCGAGAGAGAAAGACACTATTTCTTTCTCTCCTCACTATTTCTATTGTTTATGTTGTCCTTTAAAATTATAAATATTTTTTTTGTTTTAAAATAAATTTGTAAAAAAAAATTTTTTTTGAAAAAAAAAGACTGAGTAAAATTTTTATTTTGATAAGGGAGAATTATTTTTTTTTACTTTGTTTTTTTTTCTATTATTATAAAATAAGGGTTTACAGTGTACTGATTAATGTTGTTTCATTATTGTATTTGTTTCTTGGCAAATTATAAGAACGCGTTCGCGTGTCCTCTTCGTTAAAGTCGCACAGAGGAACTTTCCGGTTTTATTTGAATAAAGTGGTGAACACAACGAGGTGTTTTATATATGTGCAAAAGACAAACTCGTCTGTTGTCCTTCCCTTCGATACACTGTAAGTATACACCTTACTCTAGGGTACACACTAATCTGTCAATTTTCAATCGAGTGAACACACTTTTTTTTCTTATTTCTTTTTATATTATTTTTTATTTATTTATTTATTTATTTACAAAATCTGTACTTGTCTTTTTAATATTATGTTCAAGAGTTGTTTATTTATTATGTTAAAAAAGACTTTATATAATAATTGTTATAAATATTATTACAATTATTATTATTATTTTTAATAATATTATTATTAATATTATTATTATTATTACTACTATTACACTAAAAAAAATTTATTTGATTCAAATAATCGATTACTTGACTATTATCAATTAAATATTTACTTGAATCAAATATTTTTTATTTGAGTCAATTAAATAGTTCAATTTATATCTGCTTCAAATAATGAAATTATTGGTTCAAATGCTATTTAATTGATTTAAATGAAAATTATTTGATTCAAGTAAATTTTTGTTTGATAATAAACAAGTAATCGGTTAATTGAATCAAACAAATTTTTGTTTCAGTGTATTAGTATTAATTTTTTAATATTCTGATTATTATTCTCACTATTTTTATTATTATTAATTATTATTATATTTTATATATATATATAATTAGTATAAAAAATAAAAATTATTATTAACTTACGATTTTTATTTTATTATCAATATTTATTCTGTTATTAGTATTGTTGTTAAAATAATAATAATAATTATTATTATTATTATTATTATTATTATTGTCGTCACCATTAATATTATTAATTACATTAATTATTATTTATTTGAAAGTTAGACGACTTATTAACCATTTGCTGTTAAGAATCACTCTAAATCTGAATCAATTAAAAATAACTGAAAATTGCTTAATAAAAAAGAATTTGTTCGATTTTAATTATTAGGTAATCAAATTAAGAGAATTTATTTAGTGTGAAATTGTTTAGAAAAGTAGAATATATAATTTAAATCGTGTATTTAACAACTGATAATAACGAGAGCGCAAGCGCAGGAGTGGGGATGATAGTGAGTGTGAGAGAGAGAAACTGAAACTTCTCTCTCACTCTCATTGTCCCCACCACTCTGGCTCCTAAGTTTCTCTTGACTAAAGTTATAAATACTATGATAACTAAGAAAGTAAATTTATTTATTTAGTAGAAATTTAAAATTATAAACTATTAATAATATTTTTTCTTTATATTTTGCCACTCATAATAAATATAAAAAAAAGTAATAATCAGTTGGAATTTTTTTTAGAATGAAATTTTACACTCTATTCTTATCATTATAAGCTTAAGTCTTTAAGTCTTAAAGAGTCAAATTCATTCAATTGAATAAAAATTAATTTTACTCGAATTGATTAAAAGGTGCAATTTCTGATAGAATTATTTGTAAATAATTTAGTTTACAATATTTATTTATATCTTTTTTTATTATATATTATATATTTTATATTATATATTTTACTATATTATATATATTTTATTCTATATATTATTATATTACATGTTTTTATAATACACAAATTTTTATCACACTGTGTAATATTTCTTTAAATTTATTTTTATTCATTTGTTTAAAGAAATAATAAAAATCGACCAACTGTTGAATGTATTTTTGTTTGTTTGTTTGTTTATTTGTTATGAATAAGAAAGAAAGAGCGAGAAAAAAAGTTACTAAGAACTTTTTCTTTTAAGTGAAGAAAGATTTTTTTTTTTTTTTTTTTTTTTTTTGAGGCTTAAATCGTGAAAAATTATTACTGTCTTAATTATACCAATCGTGGCGGTAAATATTGTAACATGCAAACTTTAAAAGGCAGAGAAACAAAAAAGAATCTTTAATTTCCTCGTTAATTCCATAAAACCCTTCTTCTCATTCATCCTTAAATTCTTCACTATATAAATATAAAAGAACAGATGTTCATACTTCGTGGAAGACGAATTTTTCATTTTCTTTCATTTTATATAACTTCTTTCGCACTTTTTACTTCCTTTTTCATTTCACAATTATATTTTTAAAGTACTACACATACAAACACACTTTAAAAAAAAAAAAAATTTTCAACTTTTATCATTTTATTTTTTTGTTTAAAAAACATTTTTTTTTAACAAATTAAGTCATATATTTCTAGAAGGTTAATACGTTAATAGAAATAATGATAAAAATAATATTAATAATAATATTTTATTTTTAATATTTTATTTAAAATAAATTAGATAATAATCAATTATTATTACTGACTGTTTCTAATTAAATGCTAATTGTTAATTACTAACTATTAATAATTAACTTATTAACTTAATTAACTTATTATTATTAATTAACTTATTAGCGATAAATTATTAATTAGAAGTAATTAAAAAATTTGGTTAATAATAATTACTATTAATAACTAATAGTTAATAATTATTACTAATTAATGACTAATCATTACTAATTAAATACTAATTATTACTAATTATTACTAATTATTACTAATTATAATTACTAATAATTAGTAATTATAATTATTAATCATTACTAATTATAATTACTAATTATTAATAATTAATTACTACGTAATAAAAAATATAATAAATATTATTAATAAAATATCATTAATTACTACTTGTTAGTAATTCATTAAAAATTACAAATTTACTTATTAGCTAATTACAAATTACTATTTACAAATTAGCTAATTACAAATTACAAATTACTAATTAGTTACTATTTACAAATTAAAAATTACAAATTAGTTACTATTTACAAATTAAAAATTACAAATTAGTTTTTACTAATTAAAAATTGCAAATTAGTATTTACTAATTACTAATTAAAAATATTATAAATTACAAATTAATAATTACAAATTAGTATTTACTAATTACTAATTAAAAATGTTAAATATTTAATTTTAAGAATTCCTTTAAAAAATGTTGAAACATTAATATTGAAAAGTGTCATTAAATTGAGTGTAAAATTGAAAAAAAAAGTATATATATATCTATATATATGTATATTTATTGGCAGTCAATGAAAAGTGCCAAGTAGTTGATAAAATGTAAACAGAGAAAGCATATATCCATCGAGTAGAGAATCTCCTTCTTGAGCTTTATCTATTCTCTCTGATTATGTAACTTTTATAGTCGTGCTTCTCGTTTTTCTTTCTCCTTCATCGTGAACAGGTCGGCAACCAGTTCCTCCTGGATGGCTCGCATAAATTCTTGATTAATAAAAAACAAATATAAAAACCAAAATTACGAGACAGAAATTGCCATAAAAAAAAGAAACAAAATTAAGAAGAAAAAAAAATTTTCTCGACCCTTCTTTTTTTTTGCTATATCAATTCAATATTATTATTTTATTTTTTCATCTAATGTGTCGTATTTTAAATCTACTTTATATATATTCTTCATTAAAAAAAAAACGATTTTGTATTTTTTTCTGTTTGATGTCTATATTTAGTTTAAAATAAATTATTCAATAAAAAAAATTATGAAAATTACTATATTTGAATTAAAATTATAGAAATTGAATTTATATAATTAAAATTATTATCGAATTTATAATAATAAAAATTTTCAAAGTTCACTAAAAATTTATTATTAATTTAAAATAATTAAATCGTATATTTCAAATAGGGCTCAATTATAAAATATTTTATTAATATTACATATTGACTTTTAAAGGGTTTATTAATAATTATATTTTACAGAATTTAAAAATTATATTTTACATTTATAATTTTTTTGGAAAGATGTCTAGGAATCATTATTCTATTTTTTTTCTTATCACTTTCTAGAATAATTTCCAAACAAGTGATTTTAAAAAATATTTCTCGTGAAATATGAAAATTTCATTTTTCAAGAAAAATACACTTTTGTTTATCAAATGATAACAAAGCCACGTGGAGAATTTTGTTTTGTTATTCTTTATTCGATAAACAAAATATTTATATTACCTTCGGATTGTGTTGGCTCAATTAAATAACATAATTTATAAAGAGCATTTGCCTTGTTACTTATATTTGCGTCCAAATATAATTATATAATTTAAAAAAACAAGAATTTAATTTTGTATTTGTATATATCGTAAAAATATAATTTTAAATATATATATAATTATATATATATATAAATATATGTAAATAATATAATATAATATAATAATATTGTTTTATTATTATGTTATATAATTAATAATATAATATAGATAATATATAAATAATAATATAATATATTAAAATGTTTTAGAAAATTGAATAGAAACATTTAAATAAGGTATAAACATGACACAAACATAGGCTTAAAATAATTTGCTTCTTACCTTTCTTCACCGTTGAATTTTTAAAATTGTTTACTAATTTAAATTAGTCACTGACTATTCGCTTTTGAATTAGTAAATTTTACTAATAAATAGTAATTTTCTATACTAATTTAATAGTAAAATTTACTAATTCAGAAGCAAAAAGTCAGTCACTAATTCAAATTAGTAAACATTTAATTTACCAATTAAAATTCAGAGTATCGTAAAATTTATAAAATTTGTTTGTATTATTTCAAAAATTAGATTATAAGTTAGTCTTTAATTATTTTTAAAGTAAAACAGAATTTATACTGTAACTGATACCATAACACCTCCACTTTGTTCCGATTGTGAGCAGCGTGCTTCCTATCCACCTGTTGGCTATAGCTACAGAATTAACATTTGGCGGCAAATTCAAATCGTCGAATGAAACAAAAAAGCCAACTTTTTAAATTTAATTCATTATTTTGTCTTTTCATTTCTTTTTCACTTTCTCGAGTGAGATGTGTCTTATAATATATATATATGTATATATATATATGTGTCTTATATTTTATTTCTTATAAATAAATAAATTTAACACATTAGAATAGATTTTGTTGTTAGAAAAATAATCGAAAATTTCTTTTTCATTAACAAATGTTAAATTAAACGTATTTAATGACAAAGAAGTAAATATATTTATACACATGTAGATATATATTTATTTAAAGAAATT